CCCATGAATTTCGAAAGAGGAGTGTCTCCAAAGCAGCCGTACCTTGGAATCTCACTCAGCAGCTCTGCAGTAATAGAGAGAGAACATTGGTCACAGACATAATTTTTCAGCCTTACCACCTTCCGAAAAAAAAACCCTGTCTTGGAAGAAAGACCCTCTCCGAAACCGCCTTATAGTTATAATAGAAAATATAGTTTGACCTAATAGTCGGTGTAAATGGGATGTACCGAAAGAAAACTAAAATCTAGAAAAGAACAGTGATCATCCTGTTTGAACCCCCGTGTGATGCACGCGAATGCGTGCGCAGCCAAACTGGTTGTATATACATCTACGTTTCCGTGTGAGCCTTCCGCAGTCCACCGTCTCCGAAAAACGGCATGTCCTTTAGATTCCTTGAATCGTTGACTAAAAAAATAACTACAGGCTGAAAAAGTTGCTGTGAAAACTTGACACTACGCAACAGTCATAGGAATACCTTGTAACTGTTACAACGATATTTACTACAGAGCTTGGCTGCTAATTCGTATACGGAGTACTTTCACCGAGGGCTTGTCTAAAAATGCCGTTTTGCAAACCATCAGGTCGATACTGACCGCGCTCGTTTCCGGGCACCGTGACGAGCCTTACCTTGCCTCTCCTTCAACGTCGGTTCTTTCAACGGCTTGGTTGGTAGAGGAAGTCGACCCGACTTCGCCTACCTGACCAATACCCGCAGTAAAATATTGGTTCATCTCTCGTTGCTCTCCCACGACAAAACGTTGTGCTGTTTTGAGGGCTCCCTCTTTTATACATTTAGACTCTATTGATTTTGAGTCCCTATTGCGACAACGTGATGGTCAAGGGGTCCGGTGCTTTGCGTAGCGCTGAGTAGTTCAGAAATTATGAGTTCACGGTATGATCTGCTTGATTGGGTTAATACCTCCGTGAGCCTTGCTCATAAACTCATGCGGAACATTTAGAAGTTGATGGCGGAAAACCCTCTAAGAATGCTGAAGAGATAGAAGTGGGAACGTTCATTGTGGGGGAGGGACTTTGAATTTACTGAGCAACTTACAGAATTTATGAATAGGTCTTAGAGACAGGAACGGACGGTTATTGCAGGAGAATAAGAGCAACTCTTGTTCTCTTTGCCATTCATCCCTCTCCTGGACTCTGTTCTACCGTCACCTACCAGCGATTTTTAAATGCCCTATTTATAATGCTCCATCTCAGGCCACGAGTGCCGCAGGTACAATTATGAAGAGGAACTCAAGCTTACTGGATTCCTCATTTTGACGTCAATACAAGGCCGCCGGTCATCTCAATATCAGATGAGCATGTTTATCACATCAATCATCATCAAAATTATCGCAAAAAAAATTTATTAGAAAACAATCGCATTATCCTATAGATCTTCCCATCATCCTATGCTTCACAATGGAGGGCCGCAAGCCAGCACCTCCTTACCAACTAAACATACTTTTTTGCATCTGTCTGCCCCACAAGCAATACAAATGTTTCGTGCATCTGAATCATCTTCGAGAACCTCTCGATTATTTCATCTGTATCCAACAAAGACAGGTTAGTGGCAGCCCAACCCGCAACATTAATTGCGACTGGATACAACTATTGATAAATGCCGTTAGCCATTTGAGAGCCGTTATTTCTCCTACAGAACTCTGCCTACTCACATGTAATCAGGAGCCAGGATTTTCCTTGAGTGAAACGATTCAAGTGAATGAGGCTTGCTAAAGGGCCGAGAGCAATGTTCAGACGGAGACATAGTGGTACTCTCCCTTCCCATTGCAAACCATTAACGCTTGGTGAAATTGATTTGGAAGACTAATAAGGCCTAGCAATCATGGAATCCCTTTTATAGGTTTCTGAATTATGAAGAGGAACTCAAACTTACTGGTTTTCTTATTTTACGTCAGTACAAGGCTGCTGGTCATCTTCATCATCAGATGAGCATCAGTCATGATCAAAATCATCGCAAAAAAAATTTATTTAAAAACAAGCGTTTATCCTGTAGATCTTCCCATCATCCTATGCTTCGCAATAGACGAAGCCGCAATCCAGTACGTCTGTATCAACTTTACATACTTTTTTGCATCTATCCTCCGCACATGCATGCTTACAAATTTTTCGTCCATCTGAAAAAAAACTGCTTTGAGAGCCTTTTAAGTATTCATCTGTAACGGTCAACAATAGGACAGATACGCGGCAAAAGCCAACCCGCAACATTAATTACGACTGAATACAACTATTGATAATGCAGTTAGCCACTGTTTGAGAACTGTTATTTCTCCTACAGAACTCAAGCGCCACGAGTCCCTTCGAGTGAAACGATTCAAGTGAATGAGGCTTGTTAAAAAGCTGAGAGCAGAAGTCAGATGGAGACATAGTAGTACACTTCCTTCCCATTGCAAACCATTAATGCTTGGTGGAATTGGTTTGGAAAAGTAATAAGGCCTACCAATCATCTTATCCCTTTTATAGGCTTCCCATTTTTCGCGGTCTGTTTCAGGATAAGGATAAGCACACACACTGTGAAGGATCAGCGCGATAACCTGCAATGAGTCTCACTGAAAAGTTACCGAAGTGAATCTCACAGTCTAAGCGGCTGTATGCAATGCGCTTAGACTGTGGGATTCACTTTAAAGGAAGCGATTACGATAAGAAATTTTCGCATCGGGGGAGAACCTGCGCCACACGGAGCAATTACTTGGCTGCCAAGGAAGCGAGTGTGTGGTCCTCCCACGGCGAAAGGTGCTGTGGTTGCTGAGCAGGACCCGTGTGACGCCCCGCCCCATGTGACGTGACGCCCACTAGTTTTGTTGATGATCTGGATGGACTGTTTGCTGTTGGCTTTTCATTTTGGATGATCATTTCCCTTCTAGCGGCTGTATCTTCCAACTTGCCCACGTATTGCCTTATCAATCAAACACTATGCTTGTTGGCATGATGGCGGCTATCGGGGTTAACACGTCCGAACAACGTCGTTCTTTACCGTCGCTCATCCATGGTCGAAAATGAAAGGGCAATCAAAGGGGTACTATTTTGCTTATTTTTGACGGATTTCTTTGCTTTTTTCGCCATTGGCGTACTATTGAGACCCTCACGTCCCTCCAAACCCCTGTGAAATCTATCGTAATCGCTTCCTTTAAAGTAGCTCGTTACTCACCAAGAAGGCGATCCACTTTCGCGACATTTTTTGACTCTAAAACAGATGAGAAATTAATGATGAGAGTATGATTCTGCGTTGGAATTGCTCAAGTATTGGAACAAACGAGCGCCATTTGTATTATCAAATTCCAGTCTGACCTTGCTGAGGAACAATCTTCACGAATATTTTGTACCAAACACTACTGCTCATTCCCTCTCCCTCCCTTTACGCTCTCTGTCTGATTACGAGACCGATGGGAAAGGGAATGAGCACGGCGCCACTGTATGTTGCTGATCGTGCCGAGTGTTTATCCAGTTCACCGTTCCTCGAAAATCGTAATGAGTGGCCGAAGTGGGATGGTTGCGACTACTTGCAACACTCGCAACTGATTAAGTTACAAAAGTGACATGACACTGACCTAAGCGCTGTCAGGTTTTCCCTGTTTCTCTGGTGTTAATCTCGGACGGTATCAGGCTCCCGCTGCTTGTGTGAAACGTCACCACACCGCCTTCTCTTTCGCTTTCACGACAGCGCGGCAACTATGCATGCCGCCATTATTGCACCTCATTGGACATTGTAGCAACTATGTACGTATACCACATAGGGGTGAAACTCCAGTTCGGGGGGGGGGCACTCCATTTTTTCTCCAATACTCAAGATAAGGATTAGAGGGCTCACGACACGTAATCGACTCATTTAAAGTAGACTTCTGATAAATATTGGTGTAATGGGTGAGAAACCCTGAAACGTTTTCACATTTCCGCCTGCCATGACCCAAGGGAACGGTCCTGGACCAGGAGAAAGGACACCTCCGCAAAGGGCTAAGGGTGCAGGAGCTCCAGGGTGGATCACCTGTGCAGAAAAGTGGATGGGATGTGGGCAGGTAGTGTGGAATGTAGGACATCCACCGGTCCTTATCAAAAGTACGCTCGAAATGAGTCGTTCACTTATTATCTTATCCGTAGTGTTCGATAGCCCAAAGAACTGCTCTCTAGTACTACGGATAAGATAGCAATGGAGTGGCCCCCCCGAACTGGAGTTTCACCCCAGATTCGTTTGGGCTGATAAAAGCATCGGCAAGAATCGGAGACCCCTTGATTCTACATTACAGTCCTAACCACTCCGAAAACTACTTCGATTAGAATC